TTTCATTAGAATGTGAGAGGGGAAACTGCTTTGAAATACGTTCTATTCCAATATGCACTGCTCGTTAATTTTCGTTTCCTACCGTACATTTTTTCCGCGCTATTAATTACATATTTCAAGAAGAAAAAGAAGAAAACGTGTTTAAATGCTTGATTTTTTTTGTTGCATTTTCACATTCGTTTAAAAAATACGTAGTATTTTCTTTCCACAAGTGAGTTGTTGAAATATTTCAAGAATTTCTTTCAAAAATAATAAGTATGAGTAATTTTAATAAATCAGCATTTTTTATTTCAAACCTTGAGCCGCCATAGCAGGCGATCACCCCCCCCCCCCCCACGCTTCCAACCTGCAGCCTCAAATACAAAGACAAAGATCACCTGTGTACCTTAACACACTTTTAGGGCAAGTGCTGTTAACGAGTAGCACATACGAAGGCCGCACGGCACACGAGGGGGTGGGTGGCCAGCACCACGCCCGGCCGCCTTTGTCTCCCCAGTGGCGATGTTTACACACTGCACCAGGTACTCATTTGAGGCTGTCGCACATATATAGACACACACAGACCCACCACAGATTCACACACACAGACACACAGATTCACACACACACACACAGATTCACACACACACACAGATTCGCACACACAGACACACAGATTCACACACCACACAGACACACAAAAGATTCACACACCCAGATTCACACAAACACACATACACAGATTCACACACACAGATTCACACACACAGACACACAGACACACCAATGACACACAGATTCACACACACAGACACAGATTCACGCACAGACCACACACAGATTCATACACAGACAAAACACAGATTCCAGACAGAGATACACAGATTCACCACAGACACACACACAGAACACACAGACACAGATTCACACACAGCACACACACAGATTCACACACACCACACAGATTCACACACACTACACATTCACACACAGACACACACAGAGTCACACACAGACACACAGAAATCCACACACACACCACAGATTCGCACACACACCCAGAGACCACAGATTGACACACACAGACACACACGACTTACAAACACACACCACACAGATTCACACACACGCAGATTCACACAGACACACACGACTACACCCACGTGCGCTAGTGTGGTGGTGGTGGTAACGAGATGATCTAAACCACGCTGCAAGCCGTCAGTGCCTTCCCGATCCAAATAAACTTTGCACTGCAATTGAAATATCCGTGCATCAATCTTGCGGATTCGCACCTGCCCTGGTCGCTTCAGCTTTCATTTCCCCGTGCACAGACACGGGGGGGGGGGGCTCGATCAGGATGGAATTCCCCCCCTCTACCCCACCCCCCGTATGCTACCCCCCCCTATACCCCCCTCTCTACCCCCCCCCCTCTACTCCCCCTTCTACCCCCCCCCCCCTTTAGAACACCTCTCCCCTCCCCCCTCTACCCTCCCCCTCTACCCCTCCCCCCTCTACCCCCACCTCTACCTCCCCCCTCTACCCCTCCCCCTCTACCCCCCCTCTACCCCCCCCTCTACCCCCACCTCCACCCCCCCCCTCTACCCCCCTCTACCTCCCCCCTCTACCCCCACCTCTACCCCTCCCCCCTCTACCCCCCTCTACCCTCCCCCCCTACCTCCCCCCACTACCCCCCCCCTCTACCCCCACCTCTACCCCCTCCCCCCTCTACCCCCACCTCTACCCCCCCCCCCTTTAGAACCACCTCTACCCCTCCCCCCTCTACCCCTCCCCCCCTACCCCCACCTCTACCTCCCCCCACTCTACCCCCCCCCCCTCTACCCCCTACCCCCCCCCTCTACCCCCCCCCTACCCCTCCCCCCTCTACCCCCACCTCTACCCCCCTCTACCCCCCCCTCTCGTCCATTCATGAAGAGCAACCCCCCCCCCCCGCCCCCGCCACACGGATTGACTCGGTCCCACCACCACCGCTCACACCGCCAGAGGAACGTGGAATTTCCACCACCGCTGGCTTAGGGGACAGGGGGTGGGGGGGGGCTCCTCAAGCGGTTCTGAGCCCCCCCCCCCCTGTGATTGTGTGAGTGCGGGAGATGATTTGCTAATAGACACGGCGGAGTTTATTTATACAACGCTGCATCTCACTCACAGCACGTGGGAGGAGACATTTATATAAAGCACAGGTTGGTCCACATGTCTTGTGACCCCCCCCCCCCGTCATTTAAAATGACGTTACGCATTTAGGGGTGGGGGGGGGTCGACATATGTGACGATGTGTGACGAGGGGGGGGTGAGAAATGTACGTCACATCAAAAGGCGCAACTTTAAATAAATATATACAACACGTTCTACTTAATTGAATAGACTTGTTAATAAATGTTTTCTCCTACAACATCAGAGTTGCAGCGCGCCGCATTAAACTACGCACTACAATGACAATAGTTTTAAGCGATTTGAAGCATGTTTTAATATTTTTGGGGTGGGGGGCAGAGCTTTGTGACGTCATATTTGAGGGGGGGGTCAAACAATCGTCCAAAATCGCGTGACGTCATTTATGGACGGACCCCTTATCTAAAACTTTCTATATTTTGTTAAGTTACGTTCTTTAAAACAGATATGATACGCACAGAGGTAACACGTGTTCATTAAATGGGTGCCTCCTCTAGGTCAATTCAGCCTTAAAGTCGTGCCTGGCTGCTGTCACAAACATTTGTGCGTGTGTGTTGGAACTTATTTCGCACCGTACCTAGCCAGCCGTGCTAATCGGAGGGATACGGTGGAAGGACAACAACACATTTCGATTTAAAGCTTTCGTGACTGCAGGGATTCATCTTCTTGGTTCTTTCGGTAAAGTCACGTAGAAGGGTAGTGATAAATTGTCAAGGCGCTCTTATTACACCTCCAACCCAGCTTATATATATGCTAAATTCCTCTGATATGCAAATTATTTTGTCAAGGCGCTCTTCTCCCCCCCCTCCAACCCAGCTTAAAAAAGACGCTCAAGCATGGGGTTGTCATTCAGACTCTGTCTTCTCGACAGACCTGTTCTTCACCTGAGGACGGCTGCTTGCGTTGTGGCCGAAACGTCGTGAGAATTATTTTATATATTTTATTTTTATTATTTTATACTTCCCTTCTACGTGACTTTACCGAAAGAACCAAGCAAGACAATAACAAACTAAATACACAAACAAAGCAGTCGTCAATAAATGCGTTTCCACTTTAGATTTAAAAGTGCATCACAGCTCCCATAGAAGTGCAATCTTGCAAGCGCTCTGGGGAGACAAAGGCGGTCGGGCGTGGTGTTAGCCACTGGCCCCCGTCCCAATGTACCCCCGCCCCCTTCCCACATCGGACTGTTCAAGGCTATACGGATTCGCGTAGACCCTTTGCATTTGTATCGCGGCGGGCGCGCGAGAAACCACGTGCTGTGCATATCGAACCGAGGATTTATTTCCACAGGAGGACGCGTGAAGAGGCGTTTGCGATGGTCGTGAGGGCTCTTTGAAAGGCGAGCGAGGAGGAGTGAGTCATTATTTTCGATTAGATTTGCAGATAGGTTTGGGCCGAAAAAAATGTGAAGAAATAATATATAACGTCACTTTCCATCTCCTCCCCCCCCCCCCAACAGACCCACTCTCCCCCAAATTCGCCACGGTGGCTAGGAGATGTTAACTACCTCGCCTGGTGTACAGAAGGTCGTGGGTTCGATCCCGACCCTGACGCCTGCTGCTGTGTATTTGGAGTTTTGCGTGTCTCTCTCTCTCATTATCATCACAATGGCTATGAGATGTTAACTACCTCGCCTGGTGTACAGGAGGTCGTGGGCTCGATCCCGACCCTGACGCCTGCTGCTGTATATTTGGAGTTTGCGTGTTTCTCTCACCATCATCATCATCATCACGGTGACTAAGAGATGTTAACTACCTCGCCACGTACACAGGAGGTCGTGGGTTCGGACCCTGACCCTGACGCCTGCTGTTGTATATTGGAGTTTGCGTTGTCTCTCTCTCTCATCATCATCATCATTACGGTGGCTAGGAGATGTTAACTACCTCGCCTGGTGTACAGGAGGTTGTGGATTCGATCCCGACCCTGACGCCTGCTGCTGTATATTTTGAGTTTGCGTGTTTCTCTGTCTCTCTCCCCGTGGTCGCGTGGATTTTTCTCCGGGTCCTGCGGGTTTTCCCTCCGCGTTGAGAATCAACGTCACGACGCGTTTAGAGTGTTTGGCTGCGACACATTTACACTCGATAAGCCACTTCGTTGAGCTTATCACGTGTGTCCAGGTCGCTTCTAAAAAAATATCTGTATAGCTCATTGGGCCTTACCTAGTAAAATAAAATTAAAAAATAGTTTATGGTTTTTAATCATTTATAGTTCAATTTGAGGCTGAGTCGAACTAAGGGAGGCCCAGGACTGGTTCAGATAATCGTTGCTGGTGTCGAACTCGGGTGGCCGAAGCACGGAAGAGCAGCGACGAAAGACAAAATAAAATCTTTAACGTCTTTTTTCCCAGACTCTTTAGTTCTTTCGGTAAAGTCACGTAGGTATAGAATAACATTACAATAAAGCCACGGTCGTCTTCGTTCTCAGATCGTAAAATGCCACATTAAACATTTTATATTTATTATATATATAAGATGTGGCTTCTGGTAAACCCGTGGAAAGAAAAGCCGATCTCAAGCATGCACGCAATGAAGCCGTCCCATACAATTTGACCCAGGAGCCAAGAACCGCGACAAAAAATACAAAATATTATTTACCGGTAGGAACCACCTGGTTCTACCAGCCCACAGGGGATTATTGCGTCCGTCCGTCGTGAATGAAAAAATGGGAGGGGTGAGGCTGGGTGGAGAGGGGAGGGTGGGGAGGGGTTGGGTGGGGAGGGTGGGGAGGGGCTGGGTGGGGAGGTTGGGGAGGGGAGGGTGGGGCTGGGTGGGGAGGGGAGGGTGGGGAGGGGAGGGGAGGATGGGGCTGGGTGGCGGGTGGGAGTGGAGGGGCTGGGTGGGGAGGGGCTGGGTGGGGAGGGGCTGGGTGGGGAGGGGAGGGTGGGGAGGGGCTGGGTGGGGAGGGTGGGGAGGGGCTGGGTGGGGAGGGGCTGGGTGGGGGGTGGGAGGGGTGGGGCTGGGTGGCAAGGGGCTGATCACCCCGTGGTGCCCTATAAAACTCAACGTTTAACCTACTCACGCCGGCTTTGTGCCCGCCGTCACAGTCGGCCATATTGCGGAATACACCACGCCGCCGTTGACCCCTGGCCATTGACCGAGCAACCCGACGTTTCCTACCAGCTCACCAATGGCGGTTGTTGTTGCGTGTATGCATCTGAGAGTGTGTGTGAGTGTACACATGCATGTCACGGGAGTGGAAGCGCAGCGGTTAGGTAACTGCGCTACGGCTCCGACCACCCGAGTTCGATTCCCGCTCACAGCCAAACATCGTCGAATATCTAAACCAGTCCACGGCCTCCCCTAGATCAGGGGACGGAGACCAAAATAACAAGACAGAGCCAAAAAAAAGTGTCAGTTTTGTTGCCAGATAAAAGGGTAAAAAAACAATTATCAGAGCCATTTTCTTGGTTATTTCGGTAAAGTCACGTAGAATGAAAATAATAAAATAATAAAATAAAACATAATAAAATAATTCTCACGACGTTTCGGCCACAACGCAAGTAGCCGTCCTCAGGTGGAGAACAGGTCTGTCGAGAAGACAGTCTGACTCTGTTTCCTCGACATACCTGTTCTCCACCTGAGGACGACTACTTGCGTTGTGGCCGAAACGTCGTGAGAATTATTGTATTATGTTTTATTTTTATTATTTATTATTTCCCTTCTACGTGACTTTACCGAAAGAACCAAGAAGATGAATCCCTGCAAGTCACGAAAGCTTGAAATCGAAATTCATCAGAACCATTCTTTTTTCGTTCGAATTCGGTCAATAACCACTCAACGTATCAAGTGCCCGCAATGCATTGTGGTCGTGAGCACGAGAGACGGTGGTGCAGCCTTAATAGATGACGTCACGGAGCCACCGGATACCGCAGGTCGCCTGCCCCTATAGATCGACTGCTCCTTCGATCTCTGCACCCTGGGTGTAGCAGGTAAACATCACCATAGAGGAGACAAAGCCCTATACGGTGAGTAGGGGGGGGGGGAGGTGGCATTTTATAAATCTAGATTTGAAGCTTTCGTGACTGCAAGGATTCATATTCTTAGGTTTTTTCGGTAAAGTCACGTAGGTAAAACATTAAAATTAATAAAAGTAAATAAAATAAAAATCACGACGTTTCAGAGGCAACACAAGCTTCCGTCTTCAGGTGGAACCGTCACAGCCCGACAGCTGTATCTTTCGCTCAACCATTATATATATACGGAGTGGTATCTCCTGTAATCTCTCACTTGATACAGCTGTCGGGCTGTGACGGTTCCACCTGAAGACGGAAGCTTGTGTTGCCTCCGAAACGTCGTGATTTTTATTTTATTTTACTTTTATTAATTTTAATGTTTTACCTACGTGACTTTACCGAAAAACCTAAGAATATTTTTTTAAATCCTTTATATTAAGTTCACTTGCTTGCTTGCGCGCTTACGACCGTGCAAATCTTTCGGTCGTTTTTTAACCCACTTCCCGTGATCCAATCGAGCTGGCATTTTGCACACAGACTCGTTGTGCGTGACAATTTATTTTCGTGAAAAATTTTACACTTTTTAGGAAAAAATTAATTATATTTAATTACCAATTGCTTAATGGTGGCAGGCAATCATCTGACCCATAGGTGGCAGCCATCTCAAGCCAGAGGACGAGAGGACTCTAGCCGCCACGCATATAAAGGATTTATAGTGAAAAACTTTGTTTTTACGGGTTAATTTTTTAGTGTAGTAACATTGCAACCAGTGGGCAGACACAACGCTACTGGGCCTGTTTCTAACCACGCCTCGCACACCTCCGATGAGCGTGGTTGGCTACGTACGGTACGAAAGAAGTCCAAGGTGTGACACGTGTGCCCACGTGGTGGGTGCTCCCTAAACAGCACTTGCCCCGACGGTGTCGGCAAGGCTACATGGGAGAGTGAAGATCCGTTGCCTTTGTAGTAAAAGTGGCTCGTGGTGATTGATTCGTTTGGGAAGTGCTTAACGGAGAATTTCTACGTCTGTTATTCTTTCCATTTGTACCCGGAAACTCCTGCGGAGAAGTGAGGGGGGAGATGGAAGGATGGGGGGTATCTTCCTGCATCTTTCCCAGGGGGAGGGAGGGCGGCGTGGGTAATTGGAGGAATCTGATCGCTTCAATGGGAAATAGGAGAGAGTGTGAGAGTGAGAGAGTGAGAGTGTGAGAGTGTGTGAGGAGTGTGAGAGAGTGAGAGAGAGTGAACGAGAGAGAGTGAGAGTGAGAGAGTTAGAGAGTGTGTGAGAGTGTGTGAGAGAGTGTGAGAGAGTGAGGAGAGAGGTGAACGAGAGAGAGTGAGAGAGAGTGAACGAGAGAGCACGAGAGAGAGTGTGAGAATGAGAGAGTGAGAGAGTGAACGAGAGAGAGTGGAGATGTGAGAGAGTGAGAGAGTGTGTGAGAGTGTGTGAGAGAGTGTGAGAGAGTGAGAGAGAGTGAACGAGAGAGAGTGAGAGAGAGGTGAACGAGAGAGCACGAGAGAGAGTGTGAGAAGAGAGAGTGAGAGAGGTGAACGAGAGGAGAGTGAGAGTGAGAGAGTGAGAGAGTGTGTGAGAGTGTGTGAGAGAGTGTGAGAGAGTGAGAGAGAGTGAACCGAGAGAGAGTGAGAGAGATGTGAACGAGAGAGCACGAGAGAGAGTGTGAGAATGAGAGAGTGAGAGAGTGAACGAGAGAGCACGAGAGAGAGTGTGAGAATGAGAGTGAGAGAGAGTGAACGAGAGAGAGTGAGAGTGAGAGAGTGAGAGAGTGTGTGAGAGTGTGTGAGAGAGTGTGAGAGAGTGAGAGAGATGTGAACGAGAGAGAGTGAGAGAGAGTGAACGAGAGAGCACGAGAGAGAGTTTGAGAATGAGAGAGTGAGAGAGTGAACGAGAGAGAGTGAGAGTGAGAGAGTGAGAGAGTGTGTGAGAGTGTGTGAGGAGAGTGTGAGAGAGTGAGAGAGAGTGAACGAGAGAGAGTGAGAGAGAGTGAACGAGAGAGCACGAGACGAGAGTGTGAGAATGAGAGAGTGAGAGATGTGGAACGAGAGAGAGTGAGAGTGAGAGAGTGAGAGAGTGTGTGAGAGTGTGTGAGAGAGTGTGAGAGAGTGAGAGAGAGTGAACGAGAGGAGAGTGAGAGAGAGTGAACGAGAGAGCACGAGAGAGAGTGTGAGAATGAGAGAGTGAGAGAGTGAACGAGAGAGCACGAGAGAGAGTGTGAGAATGAGAGTGAGAGAGAGTGAACGAGAGAGAGTGAGAGTGAGAGAGTGAGAGAGTGTGTGAGAGTGTGTGAGAGAGTGTGAGAGAGTGAGGAGAGTGAACGAGAGAGAGTGAGAGAGAGTGAACGAGAGAGCACGAGAGAGAGTGTGAGAATGAGAGAGTGAGAGAGTGAACGAGAGAGAGTGAGAGCTGAGAGAGTGAGAGAGTGTGTGAGAGTGTGTGAGAGAGTGTGAGAGAGTTGAGAGAGAGGTGAACGAGAGAGAGTGAGAGAGAGTGAACGAGAGAGCACGAGAGAGAGTGTGAGAATGAGAGAGTGAGAGAGTGAACGAGAGAGAGTGAGAGAGAGCGAGACTTTGACTTTTAAACAACTTTTATTGCCGCCAGCAGCAACATCCCTGGAGGCGATTCCGATATGAAATACACAAAGTCACCAGCAAACAAACAAACAAACGCTACAAATCCACGCGCTGTGGCGCTAAATGCACCGCGCACAACACGAAATAAAAGCCACGTGGTGGTGGTGGTTGTGGTGGTCATCGCGCACGCCACGGTGACGAGCGAGCGCTTCAGAAGGTGAACACCACGAGGTGCCGTCCACGCTGGTGCAGAGAGGGGCTTGTCCGGCTCCCCAGCGTTCGAAGACGCGCTGCACATCACCGACATGTGTGTGGTACATGGCGTGCTCCAGCCGGAGCCGCGCCTTGAGCAGAGAGAGACAGAGACACAGAGAGAGGACAGAGACACACAGAGAGAGACAGAGAACAAGAGAGAGACAGAGAGACAGAGACACAGAGAGAGAGAGAAACAGAGAGAGAGAGACAGAGACACAGAGAGAGATAGAGACACAGAGAAAGAGGAGAGACAGAGACACACAGAGAGGAGACACACAGAGAGGAGACACACAGAGAGGAGACACACAGAGAGGAGACACACAGAGAGGAGACACACAGAGAGAGAGACAGAGACACATCACCGACACGTGTGTGGTACATGGCGTGCTCCAGCCGGAGCCGCGCCTTGAGCAGGCCCCTGAACACTGGAAGCAGCACAGAGCAGCCGTCAGTGTCACCTTCCAGCATCTTCTTCCTCGTTCTGTACACCGCCATCTTCGCCTGAGCACAGGCGAAGTTGTCGAGGGCATGGCGCTTGTTAGCCAGGTAAGGCACCCCCCCATATACGAAGCTACTGTTGTAGAAGGGCACCCCCAGTTTCCTGAAGATGTCCCCCAAAAGGCGGAACATTGGTTTGAGCCGCTGGCAGCGTAAGTACCGGTGGGGCAGATCCTCCCTGGCACCGCAGGAAATGCACAAGTCTGTTACCCCTGGCGAGATTCGGCTGAGCCACACTGCCGATGGCAACGTGCAGTGTGCCAACTCCACTGGAGGTCACCGCAGCGTTTGGCTACAGGGGAGAATTGTACGTGTGTTTCCACTGAGGGGCGGTCGCAATGAGGGGGAGAAATGGTCTCTCCGTTTTGTGTCCGGTAGATCGACCAGGTCTTTACGCAGCACGTGTAGCGCGCGGGGAGAGAGAGAGACACACAAACTCCAAATATACAGCAGCAGGCTCAGGGTCGGGATTGAACCCACGACCTCCTGCGTATCAGGCGAGGTAGTCAACATCTCACCACGGAGAGAGAGAGACAAACAAACTCCACATACACAGCAGGCGTTCAGGTTCAGGATCGAACTCACGACCTCCTGCGTATCAGGCGAGGTAGTTAACATCTCCTTGCCACCGTGATGATGATGAGAGAGAGAGACGCCCACTCCAAAAATACAGCAGCAGGCGCCAGGGTCGGGATCGAACCCACGACCTCCTGTACACCAGGCGAGGTAGTCAACATCTCACCACGGAGAGAGAGAG